GGATAACTATAGGAGGGGGAGAAATTGACTGATTTCATTTTTATAGTTTTCATTTAAAAAAATTCTCTAATCTTTGACTGCATTTTTATTATTTTAGATTTATTCTTTTATTTTTGTGATTACTAACTTTAAATTAGTTGATCATAAAGTAGGCAGGATAGCTGGTTCATTAGATCATGTTAGTGAGACAAGAAGAGTAGATGGTGCATGGAGGATAACAATAAGATCATATTTGTTTGGTGGATTAGATTAAGGAAATAAAAGCATAACTAACACCACTTCTTACATATATTTATTTTTAGTACCATAAAATTGTTGAATGAGATTGTATATGCCATGTGATTGTTTGATTAGAATGAGATAAAATTTTGAAAGAGTATTTATGACATTTAAATAGTGAAGGAAAGATAATTTGTAAAGGGAATTAATTGTCCCAAGGGAGTCATGGGATTGATTTATTAGTAGTCAGGATAGCTAGTTCATTAGATCATGTTAGTGAGCCAAGAAAAGTAGATGGTGCATGGAGGATAACAATAAGATCATATTTGTTTGGTGGATTAGATTAAGGAAATAAAAGCATAAGTAATACCACTTCTTACATATATTTATTTTTAGTACCATAAAATTGTTGAATGAGATTATATATGCCATGTGATTGTTTGATTAGAACGAGATAAAATTTTGAAAGAGTATTTATGACATTTAAATAGTGACGGAAAGATAATTTGTAAAGGGAACTAATTGTCCCAAGGGAGTGATGGGATTGATTAATTAGTAGTCTGAATCAAACACTAATAGAGCCAAACACTGGATTTGGAAATTCATCTATTGCTTGATATCAAGTTAAAATAACTTAAGCAAGTAAAAATAAAACAACTAAATTAAATAAAACAAGTTAAAATAGCTTAATTAAATAGGATATTCATAAATAAAACAGATAAGTAGAAATATCAATACAAAATAAACTTACAATCATTTACTGGAAGTAATTGAAAAATACATAATTGTTTACTAGAAGCAACTGAAAAATACAGCTTCAACATGCATCCTTAAAAACTAAATTTTAATACAACAAATTAGAAATTTTACATAAACTGATAGAAACTACGAAAGAAAATTTTCACTCTTTCAAACCTCTGAATTGGCCTTGACAGGAGCTTTTTTTTTTAAACAAAGTGGATAATTGTTAGGCTTGTGATTTGGGAACTGTGAGGCCCGTGACTGGAGCTGTGAGGCTTGTGACTTCAAAAGTTGGAAAATATTGTGAAACTAGTGACTTCAAAAGCTGGAAAATAAGAGGCACATGGGTGCTGAGAGCATCTTTCTGTAACTGAGAACTTTATTACTCTTTTTTTTTTTACTTGTAGTGAGGAAACGTGACTACACAGTTGACTGATGGAGAATCAATATATATATATATATATATATATCAGCAGCTTTTCTCAAAGTAAGAGTAGTGACTAAAACTGATGTATATATATGGAATCCAATGACTTTTTTAGGCATATGGGTCATTAGCATCTTGGAATTGTGGACCATATGGATCATGACTGGTTGAGACTTCAAAGGAGGCTGAATCATCTGAGGCTTCATCTTCAATTTGTGACCTTGCTAGAGCCATCAATAATTTGGCTATTTGGATCAATTTATCACTCGAGGTTGACTTGGGCTTTACTTTAGGCTTGGCCTTGGAGGACTTGGGTTTGAAAGGTTCAATGCTGGTTGATAGGCTTCCAAGTCTAACTGTAGTGAGAAGAAGTGGGCTTCCTTGTGTGACTGAAGGATTTGGGTTTTGCTGAGACTTAACCATTGTAAGAGTTGGGGCATGAATGTTAACTGGAAATTCTTGCTGGACTTGTTCAATGATACGATGGGCTTTGAATGCATCCCACCATTTAATGAAATGTTAACGAGTGGCTATGTTATTAGATAGATTGTATTTCCATTTAAAAATTCAAAGGACTTTATATTTGGACATAAAATGGAGTAACACTGACTTTTATGCTGGATGAGCTTGTAAATTGATGAGAAGAAATTGACTTGTTCTATTAACTCGGAAGGGATGATTTCTGGGATGACACCATGCTATGACCACCATCTCAGGAACCAAGAAGGGAATTCTAATTTGAATTTGTGGTCAAATAAAAAAAACCAAGAATGACTATATGACTCATTTTGATCTAGGAGGATTTTGAACCAAGCATCAATGTAATCATAGTAACTATATTGTGTATCATGGTTAGAAAGGTCTCGTAGTAGAAAAGGGAGACCCTATTCTTCCATGGAAACAATATTATGAATGTACAAGGAATGATAAATGATTTTACTGGTTGGAGTTGATCATAGATAGGTTTAATGATTATTGACTTATGGTGGAAAAGAATATCCTTACAAAAAGTTGTTGACTTATTGGGATGGAAAGGAATGAAATGTCATCCATTAGGGAAATAGGATTTGACTAATTCAAGAACATTGTGGATATTTTTATGGACTGGCTCTTTGTAAAAAAAGATTGAATGACTGTTTAAAAACATAATCTGTTCTTGGGTAGACTTGTTGGAAGGCATTGGCGTAATTAACTAGTAGGCAAAAAGGTCTGAAGCCTAAGCCGAAGTGTAACTAGGTTTTAAAATATTACCAAGAATTTGGTATCAATTGACTAGATTAATTGGAGATGCAACAATGGGTTGACTGGATGGCATAATTGCAAGAGGTTTTGTAGTAGGTTTGTGGCTTGACATCTGTAAGAAAAATGACAAAAGTAGATTAGCATCCACTGAGGACATCTAATCTATCCATATGAATGTTTACTAGATTGGTGTAATGAGCAATGAAATTGCAATAACTTTTAATCTAATTGAATTGAAGGTAAGGGTCTTGATAAAGATAAGGGTCATTCTGTAGTGACTTTAAATAGGATATTTTAAACTTATAATAGCGAATAGTTTTGCGGTATCTTGTGACTTGTAATATGTTTGTAGAACAATAATGAGTAGGCATGATGCATTATCCTCCTAGGAATATATTCAATATCAAAATCAAAAATACCTAAAATGGATTGTTATCGAGCAAAAATATGTCTACTAGTAATATTTTGTACATCTTTTTCCAAAACATATTTAGCACTTTTGCAATCAACACGTAATAGGAATTTTTGATTTAAAATGTCATCTTAAAATTTATTAATACATAAAACAATAGATAAAATTTCTTTTTTAATAGTACTATAATTTTTTTGTGCTTTGTTCCAAACACTAGAATGAAAACAAACAATTTGTTTAGATGACTAGGGAGTGATTTTCTAAAGGAGATTGCCACCATAACCAACATCAGAAGCATTAGTCTGAATAATTTTCAATGAATTTTCAGTACGAATGTCAAAACAAGGCAAGGTCTTGACATATTTTTTTACTTGTTGAACAATAACAGTATGAGTAGAAGATTAAGGAAAATGATTATCTTTCAACCTATCAAAAAGTGGTTGACAAGTTTTCCTAAGCTCTTTGTAAAATTCAACAATGTAATTTAAAGAACCTAAAAACCATTGTAACATGGTTTTGTCTAAGATTTCATCAGGAAACTTAGAAGCAAACTCAATAGATCGATTGATAGGAAGAATAGTACATTGGTGGATATCATAACCTAAGAATCTAACTTTAGTTTAGAATAGCTTAATCTTAGGAGCATAAATGACTAGACCATTATATTTGATAATATGGAGAAATGAATTAAGATGTTTCCAATGTTTATTGAGTGACTTAGAGAAAATGAGGATATCATCTATGTAGACAATAGAAAAATGACCAAAGGGATTAAAAATTTCATTCATAATGCTTTGAAATTTGCTATGAACAATTTTTAATCCAAATTATTAGATTAATTTTTATATTTTTTATAAATGGTCTACATGTACTTAAAAAAATTTAAAAATTAAAGAGATTCATATTTGACCCATGTATCCAAACAAGATCATTGGATTGTCCAAGAAGATTGGACAAAATTAGCTCATAAAAATTGTTCAAATTTTTATTCAAAATAAAAGTTCCTGATTGGAATTGAATTTATATAATGTAAGATTTATTGAATAAAATTGAATTACAAAAATAATATTTTTTGATAAATTTTTAAATGAAGTTTTAAGGTTTCTTTGTTTATAAAGTCGCTCTATGACGGTGTTTGGCAACAATTTTTTTTAAGTTTTTTTTTTATTTTTTCCACTAAAAGACATGCAAAATAATAAAAAAAATAAATTCAAACAAAATATCACATAAAACTTCATAATTATTTTATTTTTTCTCTCATAAACATCACATCCAATCACAAAAAAATCTAACTATTTTTTCGAACACAAAATTTTTTTTCTCCAATAATATTCTACAATTAAAAAAATCTACATAAAAACTCAATTCCCAAACAATATTCAAAATAAATAAAAAAAAATTCTCTAAAATATATATATATTGGGTTAGCATCTCAGACTTCGCTCTTTCTCTGAAGAGCGAAAGAGTAAAAAATGCAAACCCTAGTTGGAAGAGCGAATGAGAAAAAGATTAGAGCAAAAGCACAACTCAATCTACCAAACCTTCCCGAAGAAATCGTCATTGAAGTACTCTCAAGATTACCACTCAAATCTCTCGTAAAATTTACTCTTGTTTCCAAGCAATGGCGTTCTTTGATTCAATCAGGTTCTGTGAAAATCGCACCACGAAACAATGTTCTCGTTCGTGGAAGGTCTACTCTTCACTCCATCGACCAAGATTTTCTGGTGAAAATCGTTGATAAACCTGTGAAAAAAAACCCATATGAAATCTTCGGTTCCTGTAATGGGTTGTTGCTTATTCGGATCCGCGACCATTTGTTCTTGTGGAATCCGCTCACCAAGTGTTCGACGAAAGTCCTCTCATATGAGCCCTTGCTGTGTACTGGTTATAGTGTTGTTTCTGGACCCATATATATTGGGTTAGCATCACAAAGCTTGCTCTGAAGAGCCAGAGAGCAAAATGCAAACCCTCGTTGGAAGAGCGAATGAGAAAAAGATTAGAGCAAAAGCACAACTCAATCTACCAAACGTTCCCGAAGAAATCGTCATTGAAGTACTCTCAAGATTACCCCTCAAATCTCTCGTAAAATTCACTCTTGTTTCCAAGCAATGGCGTTCTTTGATTCAATCAGGTTCTGTGAAAATCGTACCACGAAACAATGTTCTCGTTCGTGGAAGGTCTACTCTTCACTCCATCGACCAAGATTTTCTTGTGAAAATCGTTGATAAACCTGTGAAAAAAAACCCATATGAAATCTTCGGTTCCTGTAATGGGTTGTTGCTTATTCGGATCCGCGACCATTTGTTCTTGTGGAATCCGCTCACCAAGTGTTCGACAAAAGTCCTCTCATGTGAGCCCTTGCTGTGTACTGGTTATAGTGTTGTTTCTGGGCTTTGCTTTGACTCATTTAGTAATGAGTATAAGGCTGTAATGGCCCTTTCTCATGACATTACACTCTTCGGTGGTGAATTCGTTGTAGTTGGTAGTTTCCGAAGCAAAACTTGGACAGAGATCAACTTCCCATACCATTTTTGTAGTGTGAAATCAGGACCTGTGGTGAATGAAAATCTACATTGGTTTGCCTCTAATAAAAGTTCGGATCGCTTCTTCGCACCCCGTGAAATCGTTTACTTAAATCCGCGAATGAACAAATTCAAGAAATTACCAATGCCACAACCTAAGAATGGAGATGGAGATATTATACTTGGTTTGGGAGTTTTGGAAGGATGCCTTTGTATGGTTCGCTACTACGATGAGCATCCAAGCGGTCATGTGGGTATTGTCGAGTTGTTGGCAATGAAGGAATATGGAATGCAAGAATCTTGGACTACCATGTTCATCATATCGAATTGAAAAATGCTTGGGAGCATTAAAAGGGGATCACTAAAGGGAGCACTAATGATGTGGCAGTGGACCCCGTCCACTTTCTATGCCTTGTTTTTATTTTTTTATTATTTTTTTTGTCATTTCCAATATATTAGTGCTATTAGTGATGTATTTTTTAGTGGTCTAAATCATTGTTGTATCGAATTTGCCTGAGTTGGGTATTTATGATAATGTAGTGCCGTTGTGTTTTATAAAGAATGGTGGATTACTAATGAAAGTTGGCAGAAAGCATTTGAGGGCATACAATCCTAATGACAACTCTCAAAGGGATGTTACAATTCCAACTTATTTGGATGCAATTGTGTATGAGGAAAGTTTACTTACACCTACTGGGTACAATTGGGAGGAGGAAGTGTTGAGAGGGGAAGCAAAATATGTTGAAACATCCCTTTCAGGATCATGGCGAAAGATAAGAAAGGTAATAGGTAAGTGGGACTATGAAGAGTTAGACTCAGGAGAGGAGGAACACAGAGTATCAGACTTAGAAGAGGAATAGAACCATCGGTAGCCATGGGAAGAGGTGAAGCTGGCGAAGTTGTGACACGAGATAGAGTTAATCCTAGTTAAAATTTCCGAAATCAACAACAAACAGCATAACAGCACATCAAATGTTGATTAGAGACCAAATAAAACTATATTAAGAGATGGTTGAGATGTACGTGGATTTGGGTGGAAGGTAGCACAATACGAGAGAGGAAACCAGCAGATCTTTTGTACTCTTTCTATCCCTTCCTCAATAATCTTTAACTTTATTTTCTTTGTTTCATAGTGATTTTTCTTTCTTTTTTTTTTGATTTTTCCTTTTTTTTTTTTTTTTTTTTTTTTTGAACTGAAAGTGTTAATGCTTAGTTTGTGATTAATAGATATTTTTCAGATCATGTTTGATAAGAGTGCCTAACCTTTTTAAATTAAATATTTTTTTTATCGGCAAACAAAGAGACTTTATTGATGAAATTGAACATGTGCAGTGATTATAGAGGAGTCCTGGCGAACCTTATCGTGTCCCAACTAGGTTGGTTACAAGGAGAGAATTTAATCATACATGCATCAAAAACGAAAAACTGAAAATCAAAGAGAGAAGTTCCTGATAACAGAGTCCAAAATCAACCCACTCAAAAATAAAAGTACAAAACATAAATGTTGAATCATGAATCAATCCAATTCATTACATCAAGGTTGGATAACCACAATATCAACAGCCCCCAAAACAACACACCATATGCCTTCATTTGCACTTTGAATGAACACACATCAACAATCTAGAAGGTGATCAATCTTGAAATCAGGCATGACAAAGTGAATGCATAGAAATCCATAACAGAGTACCCATTCTCAAATGTTAAAATAAGTTCCTTTGATTTTATCCAAAATGAAAATATAAGAACTTCTAACTAATTCCTTCACCTCGAACCACACGAGATGCTTATTTTAACAAAATCAGCCCACTCCTTGTTTTCCATAAAATCCATCAGATTGCCATGGGCATTGCTTCCCAAATTAATTTGGGAATTCTATTCCTCCACCATTGGCAATGGAACATTTTAATGTGTGATCCTTGGGTTTTTTTCCCCCTGATATATGATATTCTAGTTTTTCTCTTGCCCAGGAAATCATACAGATTTATTATTTCTGTACGTATATTACTATATAGTTGATTAAGAGAGAGTAGTGAAAATAAATAGCTCAAACAAGCATAGGTTATCAAAAATCTAACATGAATGGTCTAGCACACAACTAATCAATGGTTAAAGCTCAACAAACATTCTGGTAGATTTTTTGAATGCTTCAAATTAATCTTTCATAGTTCTGACTCTTTATCTCAAATGTGATTCGCATATTTAAATTCAGAGAACCACTCATTTTTCTAATTAATTGTCATTTTAATAGATTCAAAATGGTAAGTACTAGTGTAATCACGTTATTTTGTATACATATTTGGAGATTTAGATCATCTCTATAAATTAGTTAAAGAGAAAATTGGTAATAAATTCAATTTAAAAAGGGTATAAGATATTAGGTTCAGTGGATATTTTTTTTATTGATAAGTTCACATTTTGTGAAATAATTTGGTAAAAAGTTCTGAAGGACATTTTGTTTTCAATTTTATCCCTTGACCTTTTTTTATCTGTTTGACTTTTTGTTGACTATCTGTTCAAATTTTTTTGTCTATCTTTTCAAATTTATATTTATCTCTTCAAATTTTTTAACTATCTTTTCAATTTTTTTCCCTATTTGTTCAATTTCTTTACCCAATCTGTTTAATTTTGTGATCTTTTCATTTCAAATTTCTCTTATCTATTTAGATATCTGTCCAAATTTATTATCTGTTGAAATAAAAGCCAACCAAATCCTATCTGTTGAAATGCAAAACTAAACCAACCCTATCTGTTGCAATAATGGACAACATATTATCCATTATCTGTGGAAATGCAATTTTTTGTTATTGAAATAATTAAGCCACTATTTAAATTTTATTATCTATTGAAATTTTGAACTAATCTGTTATATTTGTTATTTTTTTTTGTAATCTGTTGAATCTGTTTCATCATCATCATCACCAACAACAACAAAAAAAAAATCAATTTGGGGAGATCTGTGGATGTGTGTAACAAATCTGAAGAAAAGGCAGATATATATACAAATATATATATCTAAAAAATATACACACACACACACACATATAAGTTCGCCTGGAGGAGTTGCCAGAGAGGGAATTTTTTACCATTGCTCATAGAGAGAGAGAGAGAGAGAGAGAGAGAGAGAGAGAAGCAACAATGGCGGCCTCTCTCCGCCTCTGCAATGAGAGAGGCTGAGAACCAAAGACATACACCGCCGCCCCGTTCGCCGTATGAGAATCGTAGATCTAGAGTAGATCTGCAACGAAACTCAGTTGGTGAAGGCAGTGTCGCCGTGATTGACTTTGCGTCTGTCACCATGGAAGATTGGCGGCGACAAAGGGAGAGAGAGAGAGAGAGAGAGAGATTCTAACCGGTATATGGTATACTGCCGAAAGAGTGACAGCCTCACTTAAGAAGAAGAAGAAAAAACCCTAGAAAAAATGCAAACCCTAGATTTCCAAAGAGATTCAAGAAACAAAAAGGAGCGAAGAAGAAGAAGAAGAAGAAGAAGAAGAAGAAGAAGAAGAACAACAACAACAACAACAACAAAGAGAATATGGATGAAGAAAGAGAACACAGCAAAAACAGAACTGAACGATTTACCACAAGAAATCCTTATCAACATATTCTTAAGATTACCCATCAAATCTCTCGTCCGATCAATCTACGTTTCCAAGCAATGGCGTTCTTTGATCCAAGATCATGCGAAAACTGCTTGACGACCCAAAATTCTTGTCTATAAAACTCACTTGAAATTTTCTTTTCAATCCATTGATCAACAATGCCGTGTCGAAAGCGTTTGTAGGCCATGGAAGAAAATGTTACCTTTGCTTGCTGACATTGCAATCATGGGTTCGTGTAATGGGTTGTTGCTTTTGCGGATTGAATCTGATTTGTTCTTGTGGAACCCGCTCACCAGGTGTTCGAAGAAAGTCCTGGCTTATCACCGTTTGGGTGACGCTGGCTATGATGTTGTTTCTGGGCTTTGTTTTGATTCCTTGAGGAATGAGTACAAGGCTGTAATGGCGCTTGCTCATGAGAGTCCAGATTACGGTGGTGAGTTCATGGTAATTGGTAGTTTTCGGAGCAAACTTTGGACATATGTCCAATTTCCTTACAGCGTTTGTACTGTGAAACCAGGGCCTGTATTGAATGAACATCTACACTGGTTGGCCTCTAAGGAAAGTTGGGGTCACTTCCTCTCAACCCATCAAATCGTTTCCTTTGATCCACGGAGCAATAAATTCAAGAAGGTACCAATGCCACAGCCTAAGGAGGAGGATGGAGATGGAGATATTATACTTGGTTTGGGAGCTCTAGATGGATGTCTTTGTATGGCTCGCTTCAACAATCCTAGAAACTTTGAAGGCAATGTTGAGGTATTGGCAATGAAGGAATATGATATGAAAAGCTCTTGGACTGTTATGTTCATGATATCGAATTTGGCCAGAGTATTTTGTTCCTATCATGGGTTTGTGCCATTGTGTTCTACAAAAAATAATGAAGTTATAATGAACCTCTGCGTAGGGGTGGATGAAGGATATGTAACAGCTTACAATCCTAATGACAATTCAAATAGGGATATTCTAGTGGCTACTGATAATTACGATTTCAATGCAATTATGTATGAGGAAAGTTTGGTGACTCCACCTGATTACAATTGGGAAGAGGAAGAGCTGAGAGGGGAAGCAACATATTTTGAAAAATACCGTTCAGGCTCAGTTGGAAAACGGAAAAGGATGAGGAATGGTTTTTGGAGATACTTAGAGCTTGAAGAGGAAGAATATGAAATGTTTGGCCTAGATTTGGAGATGGTCTCAAAAGAGTTGGCGTCAGAATTAGACGAGCTAGAGCTTGAAGAGGAATAGTTTCAGCTTGAAGAGGAGGAACATGAAGAGTATGGCTTAGAGTTGCTAGAGCTTGAAGAGGAGGAATATGAAGAGTATGGCTTAGGGTCACTCTTAGAAGAGTTGGTGTTTTTTCATTTAGATTGTTTCAGACAACAAAATTGGTTTTTCATTTCTTGAATCAAAACTATTATACTTAATTTGTTGTTAATAACGCATCAAAGGCGCATGTGAGGCTTGTTTGCTTTAAGTGATTGGATTTTGACTGCATAGTCTAATATTTGGGGTGATTAGTATTGTTGATTTTAATTTTCATAACAATGTATGATCTCATGAAGACATATATAATGCAGTTGTTACATAATGTTAAGTGTTGCAAACCTTTCCCGTATGAAGGCTCTGAAGCTTCTTAAACTTGAAGTCAAATTTATGCTGTAGCTAATTTTTCAGAATGGCCCAAAAATTAAGAAAACCATGTCTTGATGTTCTATTTTACTTTGTT